GAGTCGGAGTCACCCCTATCCTTATCACTCGGTCCAGCCTCTGGGTTGCTCAAGAGAGCGTCCAGCGACAAGCCATTCTTGTGCCTGCTGTTCATGTGCGTGCTTGGTTCGCCTGACGTAGACTTGTCGGCCGCAGGGCTTCTCTTGCCTGAACCCCCACGAAGCTCCTCGGGACAGCAGGTCCGAAACCGATCCTTGAGGTCACCGGCAGTCCGGTCGTTGAACTTGTAGTCGGGATCCTCCAGAATGGTCGTCCATTTTCCAACACCATGCCGACTGACACCCAGTAAAAGGTTGTTGGTTTCCTCATCGGACCACTTTCTCCGTGGTTTCGCCGCCCTCCGTTTCGCCTTGGCTCCGCCACTGGTCTTGTCTCCGTCTGTTGGGGGTGGGGATGTAATGGACCACTCGGCGGGTGGAGTTGTGGTTGCCGAGGCAGGGACATGGGTCGGAGGACTGAGATCATGCATGTAGCCGCTTATCCTCGGTGGCTCATGGTCAACAACGCCGGAGAGTATTGGAGGAAACCTGCTGGCGTTGGGGTTGGGTGGCGGTTCGTGAAGGCCGTTAAGGATGGGTGGGACCGTGACTACTTGTTGAAGAACCACCTCTTGGGTGGATTTCTGCTTCTTGAGAGGCTGAGGCAGCTGGACATAATCGTCTTTGGCAGCGAGAGCCCGCTGTCGCTTCTTGTTGTAGGCATCCTGAAGAGCATCGGGGTGGTCGCCTGCAGGTCTGCGCAGAGAGAGGGGCGTGCTGCTTGTCTCTGGGGAGTTTGATGAAAGCAGCAATTGGAGTGAATGACTCGAAGGAGGGTGGCGAGCGGCAGAATCGCTTGCGAACAGGTCTATCCTGGGCGTCTGCTTGGTCATAGACTCGTTGCTGAGCGTGTGGATCGGTGGCAGAGTCGGCAGTTGCTTGTCGGTTCTCTGCTGCTGCTGCTGCTGCTGCTGCTGCTGCTGCTGCTGTTGTTGTTGTTGTTGTTGTGGTTGTTGTCCAGCATCGCGGGGCAGGGTAGGTAAATAGAGCGAGTTGCTGTTCACGGAGGCCGTTATAGGACCGAGCTGTATAGGTGAAGGGCTATCGGCTTGCTGGGTGTTAAGTACGGTTGAGAGGTGCATAAGCCGTGGCTCGATGGTAGCCATCGTGGAGGAAGGGTTGCCTCGAGGAAGCCGGCATTGGGCAGTCGGCGAGGCGGGGCCCGGAGGCGTTGAGGGCGACAGCGTGTATGGATGCGTAGGAAAATCTAGTGTTAAGTTGTCTGCGGGAGATTGGATTGTTGCAACGGGATCGCGAATGTGGTAAGTGTGATATGTGGTGACGATAACGGAGTAGGGGAGGGATGACAACTTTTTTTTTTTTTTTTTTTTTTTTTTCTCCCCGGAGTCTGATAAACACAAGATGCCTGGTATTTGAAAGAGAGATCTATTAAAGAAGAAAGGCGAGGCCTAGAACGAACAAAGTCCACGAGACAGACCAGCGTAGGAAACCGAGACTGAGACACCAGTTGTTTACCCTCGTGACAAGGAAAGTAGGCGGAGAGGAAAGAGGAGGCAATGAACGGGAATGGGGAGGAAAAAAAAGGAAGTTGGAATTAAGGACGATTCTCGGACGAGGTCCCAGGATGTGAGAGGTCTCGGCTTTCGTTGACTTGCCCACTGTACACTGGAGGTACCTTGCGGCCCACCACTTCCGCGGCCCTTCAGCGTGCCCCCATTGGGTCCCAAGCTAGGTACACTAGGTCGTTCGATAACTGCGGTTGTACTTGCCCTGGGCTGGGACCTGATGGGGAGGTGAGGTGACCCGCAGCACTGCATGCGGGTGCGTTAGGACCACCGTAGTGGGAATCGATGGGCCAGAGAATCGAATCCGCGAAGGAAGAACCAAAGAATGGTGGAATGAATCCATCCGTCCCGTCCCACCCGCTACCTCCATACCAACCTACCCGCACTGTACGTACCACCTCACCTCGCTATGCCCCCTCCGAAAAACAACGGCGGGCGCTGGTGTGTGCAGGTGCCGTTGGAAAGGGAAGCTTGGCACCTGGAGTCGAACGGCAGATACGTAGTACATCTAGATCTTGACATCTAGGTAGGTGGTAGCTTGGCACGAGCATCTATGTAATATCTCTAGAGTACTATGTAGTGTACTATTACATTACATTCTGATGGAAAACGTCCAGACGGCATCCTTGTTGAATCCAACGTGTTGGTCAGCTGTCATGGCCAGCCTGGGTTCAGCCAAGGTACCCGGTCCCATCGAGTTTATTTCCGGCAACAAGGGAAGCTGGATAAGGTATAGTTGAGTTGACTAAACGTTGACCAGAGGAGCGGTACCTGACTCGTGTTGTTCATCCAACTGCTCATGTTTTTTTTTTAGAGTCTACATGTCCAGATGGTACGTGGTCAGGCATGGCTACCTCTACACTACGTGATCCAGTCCGAGAATGTAAGCCTGGAGAACATTGTGGATGAGCAACAAGTGAAGTGACATCAAAAGTCCAAAAAGTCCCCGAAACTGCTCCTGATATCGGTCCTCCAGGAAACAGCGATAGTCTTGCAGATTGTAGACCCGTTCCATCTGATGGGGTGGGGTTAGCTTACACATTGTTGCTCAGGGCAGTGGACACTAGGATCCGGGTCCCGTCCTTCATCCTCTTTCTCCCCCTTCCCTCGCTTCCCTAGTGTGTTGATCTTTGCTTCACCCGGGTCCTTCTCCCCGGCCAAGCTCGCCAGGCACATGGAATACATACTATTATGTATTATCCATCATCAACCAGTCCGCATTAGTCACCACCAAGGGATCAGGTAGTTGTCACAAAGTTTTTTTTTTTTTTTTTTTTTTTTTTTTTTTTTTTTTTTCTCATTTCCCACTCTGACTGCAAAGTACCTCACATGGCTGTTGTGTGCTGTAGTGTAGTGTAGTGTAGTGTACACTACTCCTCTTGCACTTGGCACCATCACATTTCCACTTTTAGCTGGGATCGTCCAACACAAAGACTCGTCTTTTTTTTCTCATCATCGAGACTTTTTTCGCCTCCTCCAGCTCCGGTCTACGGAATGCACCCAAGGTTCCAAGGGTCAGTGAGACCCCGAATTTGGCAACTCTAGCTCCATAGACGGACAGAAAGTGGGATGGAGGAGAAGGGGTGAGCCGGGGAGACAGAAAAAGCGAGAGAGACAAAGAAAAAAATAAAAATAAAAACCGAAAAACAGTTCCATTTCGAAAATGGAAGCTTCCATCTCTGTCTGCTATCCATCATGTTTCATTCCGCAATTGCAAGTCGACCCATTTCAAGTCCGCCGCCACATTGGGCGTCTCAGTCGCTCTGATTGTTAATAATGAACGACAGCAGAGAAAAAGCGAAGGAAAAAAAAATGATGCAGCCTCGGCTATCGAATGAGAACGAGCTAGTGCCAATGCCACCTAACTTTGATTGGGGAGGCAATTGAAGACATTTACGGCACTTCCCTCTGTCAAACCCGCTGGCCACTCACATGGCCGACGCGGTTACCCACCCGGCCTCTTGGGATGGCCTCCTCCATTATGTTGCTGCTACCCACACCACCCTTTACGGGGTTCGGAAAGATGGCGGGGGTTGGGAGGGCATGCCCCTGGGGCGGAGGAGACGCCGTCAGGGGAGTCGTGTGCACTGAATGGTTCGGAGGGAAAGGGCAGCACAAAGCCGCTATTATTTTCACTAGGCCACGGTTACACGGCTGCGACGACACCACCACGGCAGCTTTCAAAGTCTTCAGCAACAGCGAGATACACCCGACAGCGGGCACACCTTTCTTGCGCTCCCCGGCATTGGCATGTTGACATGTCATCTGCTGAGAACTCTTCGGGAGATCTAACCCTCTTCTGGGTCTCTCATCCGGGCTGCCTCATACATAGGTAGCATGTCTCTGGTGATGATGGGCCTGGATCACTGAGGAACCACCAAGACCACCCTCGCACGCCAGAGGGCCGGTGGACGGAAGCTGAGTGGCGAAGCAGGCGTCTGGGCTGTCTTTCCCTGCCCTGTCCAGACCATCTGCCAACTACACTACCATACATACACTACTGCGGTAAACCCGACCCTCAGGTTTGACGCCCACCAAAAGCCGCCAACCGCGGAGGTGCTACACTACACTAGTGTAGAGGTTCCTACTATCTAGACTATGTTCTAGATGTACACGCACGAGTCACCAATGCCATCCATGCCTCCGCGGAATAACCTTTTTCATCTGCCAGATCCGCGCTTATTAGCTCCATGATCAACCGAAGCTGCTTCCCGATGGCGAAACCAGCAAACCACGATATGTCCATCTACGCACGCGAGGGAGCCTCATATCCATCTCCTTGACTGGCTGGCTTACCCTGCCCACGCCCATTTCCCGTGGAAATCGGTACACTACACTACACGTTACGGATACCCAGATCGTCACGATATAGTGTACTGGACCACTGGCTAGCTACGCAATGAGAAGCACGCCAACACCGGCACACTGTTGACTGGCAAAGACTGGAAGGGACCATGCCAGTGCAAAGAAAAGAAAGGTGGCATTGGCCCGGAGTCGGACTCGCTTCCGCCTCCGCCTCCAACGACTTACCTTACCTTCGCCTCCATACCAGCTCACTACACAGTAGTGTACACAATTTCAAACAGATGTGGGTGGAGATGATGGCACGCGAGTTCATTCCGCGATCTGTGTGCGATCCATCAAGCGCTCCATCATCACCGCCGTTGACGCTTGTTGCAGTTGCCTATGTGATCCGTTACGGAAGGTAGGTAGCTCATGGTCGCCCCGCGTGAGCCCCGACCGCCCACATCCACACTTCCATACTAGCGATGCGCAACAGACATCATCGAGCCTACCCTGCTTCGTGTCGTTTCACAGCAGCAAGCCTGGGTAAAAGAGAGAGAGAAAAAGGCCCTCGCGCCCTTGGAAACTGCCCGCCCTATCCGCTGTCAAAAGTGAGACTGAAGCAAACTCATGCAAAATGCGACAACCTCCTCGGGGACCGGTGGCAACTTTACAGACTGACAACCTTTCGAGCTGAGAAGCCCGGTGGTCACCGCTTCCATCTCCGGCCCGTACCGAGTGGAGATGTACACTAGTGTACATAGTATGACCGAGGGGAATCTCTTATCGTGAGCAGGTCTTTGTCATGTATTGGGTCTAGGGTCTCGGCCCAGCCTCCGACTCCTGATGGATCCTGAGGCTCGTGTGCCGAAATGGTGTCAATGCTTTCAATAAGAGATGGATTTGACTCAAAGGGAGATCCCGGGACCCGAATCGACCCTGTCGTCCTGACAGTTAGGACCATTTCTTCCGCTGTGCCGTGGCGAGAACAACCACCTACGTCAATACCAAGAGGTGTCCGTTACCGCTTCGAGACTTGTCCAATATCCACCTGATCGTTCAGGGTCTCAACATCAAGACGTTCACTCGCAGAAGGATCTCGTTTAGGCGTCCAGACGCACACACGCATGGCCTACACTCAAGCCCACATGTATGATACGAGTGTGTGCAGGCAATGAAAGTTCCAACGGCCTACAACATCATGGTTGGGTAGCCAGAACGCATCGACTTCAATATCACAGTTACACAGAGTTGGTTGGCATACTTTGGGCCCCCTTCTATGTCACAAAGAGCCCGAGGTGCATTCATGCCCTGCTAGCCACAGACGTCCTTTCGAGAAGATGCCGGTGGTCCGATGAAAAGTCTGCCAAAACTTACTTTCACTGTATGTTAATTGGTTCGCCCAAGCCATTTACCTAACCCTGCCTCGCTTGCCTATATCGGAGAACTTTTCACTAACTCCTTTCTAGCCTCCCCCGCTGCACGAGGAAGAAGACGTGTTTGTACATGCCTCCTGGAGTGAGTTGGCATCCGACGAGTGCTGGCGTTAGTGGGGATGCTACCATCATCAAAGCACGTTTTTGACCTGATCGTTACCTAGCACGCCTGGTGGATGCCCAGCCAAGCACAGGTGAGAGCCGAGGATCCTCCAGTTCATCGCCATGCCCGATCCCCAGACCATTGACTGCCCAAACGTCATTTGGCATTGGCCTCTGGGTGCCCATACGTGGTGTGAATCGCATCACTTCGACACGTTTTTACTGTTACACTGTCATTGAGCATCTAATCATCCATCAGCCACACATTGGATGGTGAGGTCATCTATTTTCAGGATCCCTGTGTGAAAAACACCATTCGGTGCCGAAACAAACTATCATCGTTAGTTCCACTACACTACTACATTGGCCAGCATGAAAAGCCGTGTTTCACCCGTACCGCCGGGCTGTCCCCGTTCGCTCACATACCCAACCACTGATCGTCCACGGGGTCTTGTCGGGTAGGTGTACCGGCAAGTGTCGTGTATCGGCACGCAAGATCCGGGCCCGGTAATTGAAGAGCGTGAAAGCATGAAAAGGGGAAGTTAACCCCGGTTAAACTGATGTGCAGAATGTGCAGAGTCTTCTTCTTGCTCTCCACCACAATACTAGTAACGTAACAGTGCTGCGATGGTGAAGTCCTTCATCGTCACAAGTGTACAGGGCAAAAAACAAGCAATGAGTTTCACTCGGCAGTCGGAAGGGACTTGTTGCAAGACATCTTATCAACCCTTCTAGAAGCTTTCCTTTCTTTTTCCTACTTTGTCTACGCACTCTCCGTCATCACACGTGCTTTATCTTTTTCATTCAGCTACCAATGTACAGCACATATGCTACACCACTATCGCTCCCTTGACACATCGAGCTCGGTCTCTCCTTCAAATCACGCCCCTTCCTAGCATCTTCCCGGACTGACCGACGTGACTTTCTTCTCTCCAAGCGAACCCATAGAAGGGGATGAAGGGAAGGAGAGGTGGGAATACTTCCAGACCGTTACACACACAAGAACTCACGAGGGAAAGAGAGACATACATTCATTTCGTACCTCACGTTGGCTTTCTATTTACGTTGTACACTTGAGTCTGGCCGTATACCAAAAACCGTCTAGGTCCGGCTCGGTACCTATAGGTCTATATCACATTATCCCCAACTAGGTTTGCTTTCGTTCCAGTCGTTCGTAAAGTCTTTAACTTGCATATCCCACAATCGCTTGGCAAAATCCCCAATCCCCAAGTCGGGTAACTCTGATCGTCGGATACACAAACCGCATCCGAACGAACGCATCCCTTTCATTTCCAATCCGCGGTCGCAATGTGTCCCGCCAGACCGGATCGGATCGAAAACCCCAAGTTCATTCGGGTCCAGTGCAGTGCAGCGTCAATCAGAGAGACCTACATATGACATGCATTTACCTTCGACTCCCGCGAAGAAGGGTGGTACCTAGGTAGCTGGCCCTATGGGCGTCAACGTGGCTGGAATCTGGGCGTTGATAGACTCGGGCCTTTGACCCGAATTTAGGTACAGCCGGTATGTAACTGTCTCATTATGTCGTAGCTAGAATCAAGCACGTGATGAACGATTATGTACTCGAACAGGAACAGCCTAGTAAAAGGCAGCTCAGGCAGAGCCGACTGGAACGCTTCTCTTTCTTTCTTCTTTCGGTACATGCCATTCCCACGGAGCTGGGAAGTTCGGAGCTGAAACCGAAAAGCATGAGAACACCATGGTTCGATTATAAACGCCATGGAGCGCCACATCTTCTTATTTTTTTTTTTTTTTCTTTATCACCACGCATTACCACTACATACGCACTTCCACACTACGCTGCAGTTGACAGACACATGGCCCGTTTGGGGACTCAGACATTGATTGAGTCAAACCAAGTAGGGAAATGGGCGCAGTGTCGGCCTCCGAGTTCAGCCCTTCTCACGTCCATATTTCCTCCTACAGGACAAGTTCCGAAATACACTTCTCTTCCAGCAGTTCTATGGCCGAAAAAAGCAAGCCGAAGTGATATATGTCCGTCAAGCCAGTCGGAGCACTTGTAGGTAGAGGACTTTATGGGCAAGCCTTATCCGATCCGCCGCCGTCATCAGCTTGATATGTGCCACACAACACACCTGCGACGCCTTCAGCAATATCGTGCCATGTGGATGTCATGGTCACGCCATGCCATGTTTATGCCACGCCTGCCATGCGTTCTAGGTAGATGTTCGAGATATTCTTTTTTTATATTTTAATGAGACATGCATACATGCCACGAGTCCAAGCACATTTAAATCCAGCTCTAGGTAGGTACCTTAGATGTTTAGGTGTATCCCTAATAGGTAACTACTATGTGGTAAGTACAGTACTTACATAACCCCATCAGGTCGGGATCCATAACCGGATCAACCTGTCTTATCATAGCTAGGTAAATTGGAAAATAGATCCGAAAACTCGGGCCTGGCAAGCTGGGGTGAGACTGAAAAAGGAATGGGAATGGGATGGATGGTGAAGGTGAGTAAGGACTTATCCAAGCAGCTAAACAGAACTTGCATGTCAATAGCTTCTTGTCAGTTTTCGTGAGGGCAGTTCAATTTGATATGTCAAGTTTCCATCAGAGACATCCGATGCCTTCCTTCGTACCTTGAGCAATCATGTCATATCACATCACATCGTGTTGAATGAGTGCATTGACGTTCATGATCGATCGATCAAGGCAAGGCCGTGGCAAGCCGAGTGGGAGGGAGCACAGAAGGTGTGTGGGTGGGTGAGGTGTGAAAGGAAACTTCCTTCTGGAAGCATTTGGGGGCAAGTGGTCATGGGGGAAGTCAGTAAGCAAATAACCTAGAGATTATCGCAGTAAGTCCAGAAACGTGAGTGATGATGGTTTTCCTGCGTGTTGCAGGGCGATCGGAGAAGACAATGTAGGAGTAAACCATATACATAACTATAGCCTTCACTGCCAACGAGACGGGACATGGCACCGAATTGGATAGATGTAAGGTTCGCTACATTTCATTTACTGAACCTGGACTGATATATCTTGAAGTACATAGGTAAAGGTACCTAGGTAGAAAATTCGGCATGGCTGCCCTGATATTGAACTACATTGCATTGGACTATACCGATCAGAGAGGATGAAGAACATAAACCGGGCCTGAAGCTTATTCCCTTATGTGTTTCTTGGGAGTTACGCTTTCGTCGAGTTCATTTCGTCGGACAGTATAACCTGTGATGTCAACATAGATAGTCAGCTGGCGATAATAATGATAATAAACAATCTCTTCCACCAAGGTAGGTAGGTACTATTCTCTCAATCCCAAACTAGTACCAAGGCAAAGGACTACTTACCTACCTATCTACCTATCTACCTAGGTAACTACCTACCCACCTACCGACATATGCAAACTAATCATCCTAGAGAAAGACACTCATAAGCAAGTACATAACCATCGAACAACCAAGTCAAGCATTGACCAAACTTCCCTAACCCAGTGCAACTACCTCTACCTTAAATGAGATAAACCCACCCACGTGCATGCGTCCCGGTATTAATGAGCGAGAATAACATGGTACAGCACAGCACAGCACAGCACGGCACGGAATCCCAGCTTTATGTACCTCGTGGTTCTCGTTCGAGCCAAGCCGGGAGGGTCTGTCTAGTCAGCAACTTCCTAGATAGAGATTTGTGCAGTGGACCCCTCAATCGTACGATGCGGCTGTTTGGTTTGCCTGATACTTAAGTCTGGTAGATGTGAGGTACGTAAGTTAGGTAAGGTAGGTAAGTAGATCGATGAGGTTGATACCTTACCTTAGCTGCTAGTTACCTAGGTAGGTGAGGTGCCTTGCTTGTGGATAGAAGAGAAGGTGTTTACGGAGAAGGACGTTGATGATTCTTTTGTTGGCTTTTGGAATGTGCGTTACACATGTCTTGATCATCTCTTCCGGATTTTCAATATTGTTTTTGTTGAATAACTCCAAACTGATTTGGTTGTGAGGGTATGGGGATTGGGAAATGTTACTTTGGTGTCTTTTCACTATGAGTTACCTTACGAAAGGGAGATGATAATAACAAGGGGAATAATGAAAGGTAATCAGTAACTCATGGCCTTTCTAGACCACAGGTTTTCGACATTCTCATCGATGGAGATGATGAAGTGGATCGAGACAGTTTCACGTTGGCGCCAGGCATAGTTATCCCCAAGTACTCATCGTAGGTATCTTATTCATCTGCTTTATGTATACAAAGAAAACACAAAAAGAAGCGAAGTCTTACTCTAGGAAACAAGTGACGCTAGAAAAAAATAGATAAATCAAAATATCTGATATGCTCGCTCGCTCGTTCGCGCGCTTTGCTTTGTTGTTATTTCTCCCGTCCATACTTCTAGGATGGATTGAATGAATGCAGAATGGTATAGTAAACCGCCAGACATGATTGGACACATGGAGAAGAATGAGAAAGAGATGCAACATGGATGGGTAGGTAACAGGTACGATGCAAGTACATTATGTAAGGTAAAAAACACTTTCTAATATGTCCGAGGGAAAAAAAGCTTGCTAATCATGCATATCCAAAAAAGTTTCTTCTTCTTCTTCTTGCTCTTCAGCTTCTTCATCCATGTACACCCATCCATCCCTTTCACTTGTTTCATCCTCCATTCAAAATTCTTCCCACATGCATATCACAAAAAAAATGTTTACAAAGCAAGAACCAAAGCAGCCATCAAAGCAGGGACACCCATCGCAACAACGTTGCGTCCGGCGCCAGCAGTGACAGGAACCTCCGAGGGCTCAGAGCCGGTCGCAGGCTCGGTCTGAGCAGGCGGCGCAGGCATGCTGTAGGTGGAGGGAGCGCTAGAGGGAGCAACCGAGACGCCGGTGCCAGTGGGGACAGCGCCGCTGGGGACAACAGGAGCGTTGACGGCGGAGGGAACGGCAGGGGCACCACCGGCGGGCACAGCCGCGGACTCGGCAGGGACACCAGCACCAGGGGCACCGGGAGCACCGGGGGCGGAAGCGGCGGGCTTGGCGACGGTGATGGTGGTGAATGGCATGGAGGAGACGGAGACGATGGAGCTGGTAGCGACCTTGTTAACACCAGCGCCGGGGGCACCGTTGGAGGGGACGGCGGGAACATCAGCACCACCGGAGGGAACAGCGGGCGCGGAGACGGCGGGAACACCAGCAACACCGGAGGGAACAACGGGCGCGGAGACGGCGGGAACACCAGCACCACCGGAGGGAACAACGGGCGCGGAGACGGCGGGAACACCAGCACCACCGGAGGGAACAACGGGCGCGGAGACGGCGGGAACACCAGCACCACCGGTGGGAACAACGGGCGCGGAGACGGCGGGAACACCAGCACCACCGGTGGGAACAGCGGGAGCGGAGACGGCAGGGACATCAGCACCACCGGAGGGAACAACGGGGGCGGAGACGGCGGGAACACCAGCAACACCGGAGGGAACAACGGGCGCGGAGACGGCGGGAACACCAGCACCACCGGAGGGAACAACGGGCGCGGAGACGGCGGGAACACCCGCACCACCAGTGGGAACAGCGGAGACAGCAGGGACACTAGCAGCACCGGTGGGAACAGCGGCGGGAGCGGCGGGGACCGAGGTGGCAGGAGGGAAGGCCTCGGTGATAGGGCAGACGGTGACGCCGACGGGAACGATGATGGTGGTGACCTGACCAATCTTGCCGGCGCAGTCGGTCATCTCAGGAGCGCAGCTAGCGATGGTGGAGGTGGCAGTGCTGTAGACGGTCGAGGTGGTGAAGCCAGCAGGGATCGACTCGACGGGGACCGAGGTAAAGATGCCTGTAGGAGCGCGGGCGGCAGTCTCGGTGGCGGTAACGGGGCAGACGGTAACGCCGATGGGGACAGTAACGGTGGTGACCTGGCCGATCTTGGCAGGGCAGTCGGTTACGTCAGGAGCGCAGCTGGTGATAGTAGAGGTGGTGGTGGCATAGATGGTCGAAGTGGTCCACTCAGCGGGGGCGGTGACGGCAGAGGGGTCAGCAATTTTGTCGCCGTTGATGGGATCAGCAGTGACCATGGAGACAACGCTAGAAACAACACCGGAGGGAACGCTGCCGGAAGGAAGAATACCGGTAGGGACAACGTTATCGCCATCGATAGGGCCAGTAACCTTGGAGCCAACGTTGGAAAGGACACCGGAGGGCACAACACCAGAAGGAACACCAGCACTAGGAACGGCAACGTTGTGGCCATTGATAGGGCCAGTGACCTTGGAACCAACGCTGGAAAGGACACCAGAGGGAACGACACCGGAGGGAACAACGCCAGAAGGAAGATCGCCAGAAGGAAGACCAACGCTGGGGAGGGCAACGTTATCGCCATCGATAGGGCCGGTTACCTTGGAGCCAATGCTGGAAACGACACCGGAGGGAACAACGCCGGAAGGAATAACGCCAGAAGGAAGATCGCCAGAAGGAAGACCAACGCTGGGGAGGGCAACGTTATCGCCATCGATAGGGCCAGTGACCTTAGAGCCAATACTGGAAACGACGCCGGAGGGAACAACGCCGGAAGGAACAACACCGGAAGCAATAGCACCGGAGGGAAGACCAACGCTGGGAAGGGCAACGTTATCGCCATCAATAGGGCCTGTTACCTTGGAGCCAACGCTGGAAACGACACCAGAGGGCAGAATACCGCCGGGGGCGACGCCGCTGGGGATGACACCGCCGGGGACGGTGCTTCCGATGACAGCGCCGGAGGGGACGAGGCCAGTGGGAACGGCGCCAGTCGGAACAATGCCGCTAGGAACAAGGCCAGAGCGAACAGGGTCCTCGGGCGTAATCTCACCTTCGCAATAATCGTCCTCGTCAGCGGGGCTGCCAATGATCTCGGAGCGGTCGCCAGAGGGAACGGCGCCAGAGGGAGCAGAGCCAAGGGGAACGGAGCCAGAGGGAATAGCGCCAATGATCTCGGAGCGGTCGCCAGAAGGAACGGCGCCAGAGGGGACGAGGCCAGAGGGAGCGGAACCAAGGGGAATGGAACCAGAGGGAATAGCGCCAATGATATCGGAGCGGTCGCCAGAGGGAACAGCACCAGAGGGAACAAGGCCAGAGCGAACAGGGTCCTCGCCTTCGCAAACGTCGTCCTCATCAGTAGGGCTGCCAATAATCTCGGAGCGGTCACCAGAAGGAACGGCGCCAGAGGGGACGAGGCCAGAGGGAGCAGAACCAAGGGGAACGGCACCAGAGGGAACGAGGCCAGAGGGAGCGGAGCCAAGGGGAATGGAGCCAGAGGGAATAGCGCCAATTATATCGGAGCGGTCGCCAGAAGGAACGGTACCAGAGGGAACGAGGCCAGAGGGAGCAGAGCCAAGGGGAATAGAGCCAGAGGGAACGAGGCCAGAGGGAGCAGAGCCAAGGGGAACGGAGCCAGAGGGAATAGCGCCAATGATCTCGGAGCTGTCGCCAGAAGGAAGGGCACCGGTGGGCATAACACCGCTAGGAACAACGCCAGAGCGAAGAGGATCCTCGGTCATAATCTCGCCTTCGCAAACGTCGTCCTCGGTAGCGGGGCTGCCGCCAATGATCTCGGAGCGGTCGCCAGAGGGGAGAGCGACGGGGACAGAGGTGATGATAGAAGTATCAACAATGGTGGGGTTAACCTCGTGAGCGCCATCGGTGACGGAGGGGACCTTGGGAATGACATTCTCGTCCTCGCAGACCTCGTCCTCAGAGCTACCACCGGAGGGGAGAACAGAGCTGCCACCAGAGGGGAGAACGACGGGGCCAGAGGTGATGGCGGAAGGATCAGCAACAGTGAAAAAGCCACCGGCAGAACCCTCGGTGACGGAGGGGACCTTGGGAAGGGCAGACTCGTCCTCGCAGAACTCAGAGCTCAGGTCAACAGCCTCGGCGGAGGAGACAACAGTGTTGATCACATCGAGGAAAGTCATTCCGTTGGCCAAAGTCTGGCCGCGGAAGGCATCCAAGACCATGGCACCGCCGAAAGAGGAGCGGGTCTTGTAGGTGTTGATCAGAGCGGCAGCCTCGAGGGGCTCGATGTATCCAGAGCCGGCGGCATCAGAAGCTCCAGCAAGACCGATGAAGAGCTTGGCCTCCTTGCTCATGCCGGCGGCGATGGCCTTCTCCCACTGGAGGTAGTTGAAGCCAGAGGCCGAGGCAGCCTCGCAGCTAGGGTTGTTGTAGAACTGGATGAACAGGGCATCGAACTGGGCGTTGTCGAAGATGGCCTTCATCTTGACATCATCAAGCGAGCATCCGGGGGCGGCAGTAAGAAGGAGCTCGGCGTTGCCGTTGTACAACTCACGAAGCTTCTTGGCCATGGCGGCATAAGCACCTTCGCCGGCTGCGGTGTGTTAGCCAATGTTCACTTTCTATCATTTGACTCTCCGAACCCAAGAATGACTCGACATACCTCCGTTGAGCTTGAGCTCACCATCCAAGTTGAAACCATCAACCGAGACGCGGTGGCCAGCGTAGTCAAAAGGACGGGGTCCCGTCCACTTGGCATCGTAGGGTCCAAAGGCTCCCCACAGGAAGCTGGCAAACTCCTCGGCCTTGGCTTCGCTGGACAGAGAAAAGCGCGAGCCCATGTGCTCGACACCATCAAGGGAAAGCAGAACCTTCTTTCCCTTCTCCTGGCAGTGCTTAATGTCCGACGCAACGACGCTGCACTTGCCATTCATGTGCCCGCTGGTTGTGCCGTTCGTGTAGTAGGTGGCATCGCAGTGAGCGCCAATAGTGACATAGTCGAAGTTGGCCTGGTCGCAGTGATCCCTGAGCCTGGCGTCTCCCTTCTGTCCCCAGTAAACGTTGACCTTGGCCTCGGTGAGGGCGTGGGCCCGGGCGGTAGCGGCCAAGACGGCCGCTGCCACTAGACTTTTGTGCATGATTATATTAAAATGATTAGCTTTGATATTGGAATAGGATAAATGAGGTGTTGTAAAAGAGTATGTGATGAGATTGACTCAAAGAGTGGACGCAAACACGAGGCTTGCACGGCTGGAAAGCACGCCGTTTGATGATGGAGTTGAACAAGATCAAAAGGGACGTAGGGAGGATATAAAAGAAGAAGATACAAGAGCCAGATGGGTGGGCAAGCTCACCTTTCATAGTGTTTCTGATCTTACACCGATGTTGAGAGCTAGCGTGCTGAGTGTCCATGAAGAGTCTAGCTCGCTGGATCTTGAACTTCGTGACGAGATGAGCCAGGCCCCGGTCCAGCCAAGCACCCAAGCTGGGGGCCAAAGTGCCGGTAAGCCAGCTTGGCCGACCAACATCTGTGCAGTTCGACTGTCATAATACAAGTGGAAATGAGCCACGAATGATTTTCTTGGGGTCTGGGGACGGAATTGTCCGTCTTCAGTCAGTGCTCCCAGAGAACCCCAGTTCAGAGATTGCGACGCATAATGAAGATCTCTGTATGTCGAATTGCAGAATCGATACTACTCGCTGGACTGATTGTCTATACCTACATACAAAAACAGAGCCGTGAAAACGCTTTGGGTATATCATGTTGTCTTCCTGGAACCGTAGGGCCGACTGGTGACGACAGCTCGAGGCAAAACGGGTCGAAGAGTGAAGATCCGAGCACGTCGACCGTGGCTGTGGTCGTTCCTCCTCTCCTCATCCTCTCCTGGCTGCGTCTCCTGTCTCGCAGTAATCTCTGGGACCGCCTTTTGAGCTTGGTGGATATGTTGTCTGGGCTTCTAGCGCTGTGTTCAGAAGTATGCTAAGCGGACGACAGATTCAATAGCTCGAGGGGAAAGAGTCTTGAACAATCCTAGCAGTCTTTCCCTTTCCGCTCAACAGGTTACATCGAATCGTATGCTCAAGGTCGGACCCCCCTGCCAAGACTGCAGTTGATGATGTTGGGTGCCATCAAGCCCCAGCCTGCGTGCTGGTCTAGCCTTCTTGGGGTTTCAGATTCAGGAACAACAGCCGCGAAAACCCCGAAATTGTACCTGAAATAGCCAATTCCCCACCATGTACCCGGTCCCCTATTTTCCCCAGTGGATCCTACTCAACCATCCCGCCCGCTAGGTGTAAGTGAAAAAAAGCAATGCTCCGGACAAGTGTTCCGGCGAAAAGACGCCTTCACCGATATCCTACGGTGTGTAAATCATAGCAGAATGTGATAGCGTTGTTTCGATGCCGTGTTATATGTTCTCCAGGTTTTCGTTGCGTGTCTCTTCCCCATAGCGGTCGCGGGAATTGTGCATGGATAAAGTTGGGGTTTCTGTGCCCTATGCATGGCGTGCCACCCAACCGCCCCTGTGAATTCGTACTTTTTGATGCGATGCTGTCGACAGCCGGAAGAAATGAGGAAGAGATCAGCGTTTGAGCTTCGGCAGCAGCTGTGCGCAGCCGGCCAGCTCCCCAGAATGGCAACACCTCACTTGCGGACAATCCCTGCCACTCTTGACCGCTGATCAGTGAACCGGTGGGCCTCCGACGACCGTTATCCGGATCAGTCCCACTTGGCCGGAATCACCACCGAAAGATTTAGGCGTCGAGTGGACTCCTGCCAAATAAATAAGCGTCCCCGTCCGGCTCCGATAACCAGGTACGTAGTATGCTTCTGTTAGTTAGATCTCCGGTGCCCATGTCTTCGTTCGTATCTGGGTTCGGGATTTCCGTGAGTTGCCGTCGTCTGGAGCCGAGCTCTCGGCTCGATGTCTCTGTCTCCGTTCCGGTCTCCGTTTGGGGGCGCCGCCGCCTGGGGTAGGTTTCTCAGCTCGATATTGTCATTGCTGAGAAAGTATCCTCGGTTAGCTGTGTGATAGCAAGATATAATAGGTCTCGATCGAAGTCCACAAAGAAAATCAAAACAAAAAATCGACTTACTTTTCCTCGCCGGTTGTAGCTCTCCGTGGCCAGGTCATGATCCTGGGTATCCATGCCCGAATCTTTCGACCATTTACCTATAAAAACAACAAGAAACCACAAACTAACACAATGGTAAATAGAATCCCGCCAACTTGCTCTGGCGACTCAATCGATTTTATCCGGTGCTCTTCCAAGTGTTGTGTGGCATGGACTTCCGGATCCTTAGCCATCGTGCCGACAAGATGCAAGGCTATTATGACAGAGAGGGCAGCACGGGTAGCTATTGCACCGACAATAGGACGACGGCAAAAGTCGGGAGTTGACAAGTAACACGTTGCAGTGATGGAGATGTATATACGTAACGACTGTTGTGGCCAAGAAGCGAGACGATGATTGGAATGAAATGACGGAATGAATTCAGAGTAGCAAAGTGAGAAAGTTTTGGTTTCCGGTAAGAGAACAAGAGAGAACTGAAGGATTTAACAAGTCAAGGGAAAGCCACGTGACGGGCAGCACTGGGACGAGAGACGCTTCCTCGTAAAACACACATGCAGATGTGAAAGGAATGGATGGGGTTTTGGAGGGTAAATGTGCCTTCCTTCCATCTTTTCAGGGGGGTAGGAGTGCCTGTGTGCTGCATCACCTCATAGGTCGAACTGGGAAGGAGCAGATGGGTTCCGAGCTGGCCTCTTTCCTTCTTCGGTTTTTCTAGGTAAGCAACTCGGGAATTTTGCTGCTCCAGTGAGGTGATGTCGGTTGCTCGCAACGAACGAACAAATTAACTCCATCAAACTTGTCCAGAGTAACACGAAGAAGAACAGGGGCAGGGGCAACTAAGATGATGTGTGGTAAGTATGTTCTATTTACACCTTCTCGAAATATGCCGTGCCCTTGCTGTGAGGGAAAAACAAGATAGAAAAAAGAAAGAGAATTCAACGTCCACAGAGAGTCACCGTCAATTAACATCCATCGATTGTTCTCCTTTTGTCAGCTGATGCCCACGATTCAAAACAGTACCTGGCATCAACATTGGTAAACCATCATCCCCACTGCCTTCTAGATCCTCTTCACCCTCCTCGCCCTCATCACTACCCTCGTAACTGCCTGTCTGGTCATCGCTGTCCCTATACTAGGTAGTATCATTCCACTTACCGGACTTCACTTCCTCTACACTCTCACCGCATTTCACAATCTCCTCCACCTCCTTCCTCATACCGTTGATAACATCCTCGAGGAAACTACCAGGGGTGTTGTTTCCGATCCGCAAATTCCCACCAGGAAGTCTGCATTCAGACGGACGGTTGTTGTTTCGGAATCCTCGAGTCTTCTTCCATTGGACCCTACTGCTCTTGGAACTGTCGAATTTCTCTCCAGGTGGTCAGTTGGCCATTGCGAGCAACGGAGCGTACTTTTTATCTCCGATGATATGATATATGTTTTCCACCTACCTAGTGATAGGTAATTCGGGCGGATCGACCGGGACGATAACAACTCGTTACTCGTCGAACCATATCCTAAATCGGCAAGCCATCAGCAACGAATTCGTTGGAATATAATATCAACTACTTCGTGCGCCATCTCTCCAAATAGGTGCTCCGGGATGGCTCCGTCATCAGAAAAGTTGGGCCACAGTATGCGCTGCCCCGGCAGATGATCGTACATAGAGCCCAGTGCCACATGGAGGCGATTTTTATATCTCCTTCGGTGTTATGTACTTCAGAATATGGTAATACTCTCCGCTCGCTGGGTGTTTTTCATTTGCTTCTGAGGATCATTTTAACCGTCTGGTAACTCTCCAGTGATTTCTTCTTACAAGCTTGAGAGTCTTCTTCGCATCCTCGACCGCTGCTCCAGGGCCTGTCCATGCTCATTTCGTGGAAAGGCTGGACGTTTGGTCAAGGCCAAGTTAAACCCTTCATCGGGCTTCGTGGCTCAATGTTTTTGGTCGATCATGGTTCGTGTTCATCAACGTGACTTGGCGGTATGGTAGGGGTCGGGGCAATTAACATGTTGTTGGATTCGTAGTGGCTTAGAAAGAGCAAAAAGAGGTTCTGTTCGAGGGTTTGCGATGAAGCGAAGCTCACTTGACATTTAGCAACAAGTGCAAGGTTGCAGAAGGTTTTGGGAGAAAACAAACCAAAGCGTGTGTGTGTAGTAGGTGCTGTGTTGGGCATATATCTCTAGGGACCTAACTAAGTGTGGTGGGATCTGAGAAGGATCAGAAAGCAGACGGAAGGTGTAAAACTGAATGCTTGATCGATGGTTTGATGGGCCGAAGTGGATAAGGGGCCAGTCTCCGCTATATACTCTGGAGATGGAACCTCAAGGTTGGAATGAAGGGTATATTCCGAAGGTCACCGATGGATAGCAACGAATTTTGAAAGGTAGACAACTGTTTCTGTTGGTTAGGCACATTGATAACAAGAGCTCTACCAAATTACCTCCTAGACCGAACGAAATGAGGTTATGGCACAGTTATGTAAAACAGGATGTGTCCTCGTCGGATTTTCGCAAGATGCAATGCATGAAGCGCTTGATGCATTGCAATGTGCTTCATCCTTCGGACACATCCGAGGCATCACAACTCTTATTTTGTTACACTACGGACCTGTTTTGGACATCAGACAGCTACCTACTCAACAGTCAGATACCCAACGATACCGGAGAGCATGGTCTGTTCGTAGTGAAACATGCATAAATGTATGCATCACGGACATTGGTGACTTAGATCGAATGTCTCAGTGGTGATGAGTTCGGACTTTAGTTTCACCAGATCTGCGACGGAAACTGCGGAAGGGAGGCTTGTAAATTAGAAGGAGGCAAGTGTAGATAGAGGTAGCGGAGAGCAAGAGCGCAAGACGTGATTGCCGTGCTGTTGTTGTTCTGGTACTGAAACAGTCCTCTGGGAAGGAGTCGGGCATTTCAGAATATCTTTCATTTCCGTTCCAGGCTCCTCAAGGGAGACTAAACCATATCGATTCAATAAGATTGGTCTCATTTTTCGCTGATAGCCAGATGTTGCGAGCTGGGTTGGAGTGGCTTCGACAGTTCGAACTAATGAAATGATCTGGGTGTAAGTAATGGGATGCATGATCGCAGTTAAGACTCGAAGCACGAAAGACAGTTTGGCAATGCGCAACCATCGTTTGTGGATATAAACACAAAAGGTAAACATGAAAGATAGAGAGATGGAGGCTTCAGTTCTTTATGGTGCTGCCTTTTGAACGAGATGTTTGTCTGGCTTGCATCTTTCTGCAGATGTGAATGCTTCGTTTGAGTCGGTACAGACTCCCTTCTACTTTTCGAACCCAACTGACCGACTCTTTCTGTGAAATCCTGGGGATAGAGCGGGAAAGCGAGGCTTGTCTGGACCTGCCAAGAATTATCGCAAGGATGCTCTGTGTTCCCGCTTCCATGTTATACCGATCTGTTCACTGGTTCCTGCCTAGACTCTGAGATTTAGGCAATCCGTTGTCGGGCCTCCATGTAACTCCAGTACCGTCTCCAGACTCGAGGCGGGAGTGAGTACTAGCTTCCAGGAATAATAACTGAAGTTGTATATCATTCGTTGAACGTTCCTTTTCTAGGTCAGATGTCCAATCAAGATCGGTTGGCCTTTTCCTAACCATTGTTCACCGTGACACAAGAGCGCTTGGTAATTGTGAAGATCGCGGCTCCAACTATCCAAACAAAGGAGCTTCGACCAAGGACGATGCACCAGATGGTCCCCGAGAAAGAGAAAGAGAAAAAGGAGACACTATGACAAGAAAGATTAAGCGAGCTGATGTGCGGCGCCTGCGGGATATTTGTTTGCGAATGACTCGTATGTTGTTGGCCATACTGCAAACCACCAGACTCCCTTTGAAGTCGGCAAGGGGAATATGGGAAGATGCACACCTTATTACGTCTAAATTTTCTGAATGGTGCGTCCCATGAATGACGCGTCCCATGAGTAATGCACCAAATATTACCTGGGGATTCCATAACGTCGAAATATAAGAGGGCAGCTGCTGGAAATGTTGCGCAGCGCAGGCATGCATCAACTTGGACAATTGACTGTCAATGTCAAGCAGCATGTTCCCTCTCTCGAATCGGTGCTCTTTTCGCAACATCTAAACGCGGGTAGAAGCCGTCAATCTGAGACAAGTGATCTTCACGATAGGCGCGGTATCACGTCTGACAACATTCTCTCGCTCCTCCAATGTTTCAATGTTTCATCGTCGGGAACGCACTTTGGTGTTGAAACGCCAAAGTGGGGAGGGATGAACGGGCAAATCCCTGGGAGCCGCACGAGGGCGGGAGTTGAATGGTTGGTTTGCACATTCTCAAAACAATGGAGATGGAAAGAAACTTGTTCATAGTCCTCCTTATACGCGTCCGCGAGGCAGATCTGATGAAGATCTCGGGTTTTGAAGGCATTCCCGGCTCTGGGACAATGCTGTTGTCTTTTTTTTTTTTTTTGGTTAGGCGTCAGAAGGGATGATGGCATGTTACATCATCTTGCCTTTGAACATGCTCTGCTGCAAAGCTCGCCAGACGCTGTTTGGTATACATGTAACTTAACTGAACCATCATAGGCGCCAGGGGAGAAGGTTCTTGAATCTGTCTGTCCTGGAGGTTGCACCAGGACTTGGAGGGGAGGTCGGTTTGGTTGGTTGTGGCGAAATTACAGTATCTCCAAGGCCGGGACACCGGTGCGGACTGAGGTGAAGGTTACATCGGGGGACCCTTCAGATCTCGAACTGCCTTGCCCTCCACTTGTTGGCGATTTGGCTCATTGCTCGCTCCTCGCTCGTCTGTGTTTCCCCGTCGCTAGCAACCCCTCATGACACATTGCAATCTGGGGAACGTTGATGATTTTGTTTCATGGGAGAGGAGACAAGCTGGTAGCCGAGGCAGAGGGCGATTCGAGTGGTGCCGAATGCTGTAGGTATCGAAGCGCATTTCATTCCCTCGAGATTGCAGAAATCCTCTGGCCAATTTTCAGGGTACGGGCTTGGCAACCTTGATTTTCTCAGCTTCTCAAGAGTCTTGGCGATGGATCTCGTCAAATTCTCTCCATGTCACCTGCCCCGTCCGGGCTGTCTTGAGTGGAAGTGGAAATGGAGTCATGCCTTTTCTCGCGGACCATGTTAACAACATGCAGAGCACTCAACCAGAAAGTCGGTGGTTTGCGATGACGAGAGTGCGATAACGAGGGCAAAAAAGATGGTGTCGTTGAAGACGGGAGTAAAGGTTGGGTTGGGATGACGGTTGTGCAGGCTTTGATATCAAAAAACCGTTATGCATGCCATTCTGGCTAGCGCATCCCGTTCGTCCCGTTGCATAATTCATCACAGATGATGCATGGAGACGCACAGAGCACAGGCAGGCCACTTCATTCAACTTGATATGGTTCATCTCGCCTTCCCAAACACGGTGGCGTCTTTGCAAATGGGCCAGCTTGTTGGTTTGATCAAACTCACTGAAAGGGAAAGAATGCAACAGTCCGTCAACGTACATAGACGCCGTCCTTGTCAATCAACAGCCAGGCAAGACATTCGACCGCTGGAGTCGAAGTTTTTATTTATAAAATCTTGCAGACTCAGGCGCTGGGCCCACAGGGGCAGAGACAAAGAGATGTCCTGCCGGCCCGCCGGAGACCGTTATACCAATGGTTCGTTCCATCTCGAATCGGGGTCAGCGGATGGGCGCTGGGTGCGCCAAATTAAGGGCCTGTCCCGGCACGCCCAGGCCGCAATACGAGGCCACGCGGGGCCAGCTGGCAGTCTCTGCCGGTCGTTGCCAGCCTGTCGGCATTTTTTCGGACGGGTGGCTGACCATGGCTGACAGTGCTTGTCGTGCCATCTTGGGGCGCCAAGTGTTTGCATCCTGCAGGACTTTGGGGTCTGTGGATATCAAACCCACAGTGCCCTACCGCTTGGTGCCCACCGTGTCCACTCTTTTGTACCCGACCCTCCGTTCCTTCCAGCGTTGGAAGGTGTGTTGTCCCCGTCGTCCACTTGTCTTCGTGACCTGAATGAATGCCCGAATGCCTCACTCCCGTCATTGCAAGGAAATGGGATGCAGAGATCACGCCGCGCTCTTTTCCCGCTCGTTCAAAATTCTACCATAGTGTAGTGTAGCCGTCCCACCCACCCACCCTTCCACCATTTCTATCGATCTAGTCTCTCGTTTCCCATTTTGCACCCACTTTCCTATTTTCCCTTTCCCTCGCTCCTATTGTCATTAGTATTACACCTTCAAATAAAAGGGATCCTAACCCATACAATCGTTTCACCAACCGCGCGCATTTCCCTCGTTCGATTTCGCAACTTAACCCTATTCCCACTTCCACTTCCAGTCTCGATATCCGACGACACTCTCCCCGCCGAGAGCAACCGCCTTCGTTTAGTTGACTGGTCGACATTCGCCGCGCCCAAGGGAAGCTAATTAGCCTGCGCTAAACCCAAGAACCTCGTCACCTAGTGCACACACCCGGGCCTCACCGAGCCAGCAGACTACTGGAGGTCGTCGAGCCAGTGTAATAACCCTTCCCCATAAGGGTTCGACGATTCCCACGCATACCATCAACCATCAACACCACATCAACACTTTCACATCAGTGTCATCATAATGCAGCTCAGTCGCCTACTTCTCGTTGGCCTTTCGGCCCTAAGCGTCGCTGAGGCCTCCTACATCCGCAAGGGCGTCAATGTCCCTCACCACAACAATGTCGGTCCCCTGGTGCGGAGAGCAGACAGCGATAGCTCCTCCGCCGACCTCCCCGTGGACACGAGCGTCGAGGTACCGACCCCAGAGACGACATCAACAAAGGCTGCTCCTGCCACAACAACAAGCGCAGACCCACCAGCCGAGCCCACCACCACCACGTCCAAGTCTGTTTCGGTGCCAGCTGCCACTACAACGTCACCTCCCCCAGCACAGACAACTACGAAACCCAGCAACAACGACCAGCCTACAGTAACAGCGAACCCTAACGGCGAGATTGTATCTTCTTCCAAGGAACCAGCACCAGCACCGTCGTCCTCGGCTGGCGGAAGCGGTGGATCATCCAACAACGACGATGACAACTCCAAGTCCAGCACGTCTGTCAAGCCCATCATCAAGACCATCACCCAAATCATCACCACCACCAACCAGCAGGGAGTTGCGACAACCGTGACGAGCGAAGCCCTCACTACCTCGACCCCGCCTCCTAGCCTTGCTTCCGGTAAGGGCAGCAAGGACGGCGACATGTCGTCCCAGACCCGCAACACTATTATTGGCGTCGTTGTCGGTATTGGCGGAGCCATCATCTTGGCCGGCTTGGGCATCGTTGGCTGGAGGATCTATGGCCGCAAGAAGCAGTCCGAGGAGGCCGACAATCTGATGGATTACAATGATGCTGGCAAGCCCGAAGTTGGAGGATCGATGGTTGGACGCACCCCCTTCCAAAGCACGCTCGAGAGCTATCATGCGCCGACGCATGTGAACCAGGCGTCAAACTTCTAATTTTCATCTTGCGATATATCCACAATCAAAGAAATATGAAGTTTTTGCGTTGTTCCATTTCGCTTTCTAAAGCGTACCAAATCATCAGCGATCAAGATACCCCTTCCGCGTCTTTCAGTCGTCACCGTCGTCGCCATCGCTGAGTTTGCCTGTCATTGGCTACGGCAGCCTGCATTTTTTTTTTTTTTCTTTTCACATATAAAATGTTTTTCTAGATCTTACAAAACATGTGGCAATGCCATATCGCATTAACATTCTTCTTTCTGACTCGGCTCTGCTTGGTTTTGAACCCTGGGGGGCTCACATGTATATGTTGTGGCAATCTACCGGTGGTGGGCAGAGCGTTTATTTGGTATGCGTTTGGGGGAGGAGAACATGCAACACAAAATTGATGTACACTACGTTTTCTCTACGTACACACACTCATTACACTCCCACATCACGAAAAGATAACGAAATTTGAAAGGGTGGAAAAGTCATAGCAGAGCAGGCAAGCAAGCAGAGAAATGGATGGATGGATGGATTAGTGATGGATGAATGGATAGAAGGAAAGATATTTCCAAATCATACAACCGTTCCAGCAAACCCACATGCCGCGTGAAGACAGCGCATCGAATTGACCTCAATTGCTTTCGTGACACACTATCAGCCAAGGATATCACAACTTTCTGGACTGGACAGACACAAAGAAGAGCTTTGTGCCTGTTTGGTAGAAGGCTTCCCTGGAGGCTTCTCCTTTGTTCACCATCATTATACTGAATCCCTGACTTGATAGGGACTAACTGACTAGTGGCCCGAATTTACTCAAGGAATAGACAGATTCCTAGGTACTATTTCTAAACGTGTTGATGATGTGGGTGTTCTAAGGCGAGAGATCACGGGCTAGAGGTACCTATGGTATAAGCAAACCCTTTTAGGAACTGCCCCTGAGATGATGGATGCTACATCGGATACCTCTCCGTTACACTCCTCAATCTAGGTACCTAGCCGACTTGCTCGGAAGAAAAACCTCGACTGGGTGGCCATGGTTGTTGACCAGGGAAGTCAGTCAATCGTCACTCAATCCAATCGGCGCTTTATACGGTATTAGACATATAGAATGTAGATCATCGCGCGTTCGCCATGTAAAGAACCTTTTCATGCGCATCAATGAAGTCTCCAGTCGATCACCTACTTAATTTTTTTTTGTTTCTTATGCCTCGTGGCTTAGCTTTTACATAGATGACAAAGATATTGGTATGGTTCCATTCCGGTCGGTGGTCGGATCGGGGGCCGAGATTGGTAAGGAGGGCATGGGAAGGATTGTTCGTTGCAACCATGGATAGGACCCTCGTCTCAAGATTGTTTCAGCCTTTAACGAGCATTGCCCGAACTACCTACTGGCTGGAGAGCGCTTCTGAACCTGAGAATGAACTCTTTTCTCTTCTTTGTCCTGAGAGTGCGTTCGCTGGGTTTATTCTGAAAAGATCTTCACCGATACGAACGACTTTAGTTTAGCTGGGCTGTGACGGCGACGAACTCGGACTGACTGCCTGTTTGAGTTGCTCTCCGGGCTTTTTCTTCGAGTGGAACAACACCTTGCCACATCTCTGCGCACGATACTACTGGCGAGGACGAGACGAGACGACGAGTACTACGAGCCGAATCGCCTAGGGAGAACACCGAGTAACCTACCTCAATTTTGACCGGAAGTCCAAGTCCAAGGTCCAAGTCGCGAAGTCCAACTCGAAGCACCGATCTACCATGATGAAGCCCATTCAGCATCTTCGAACGACGACGACAACGACGATCCTCCTCCTCGTCCTCTCCAGCTACGCAACAGTCTTTGCCGCCTCACCAGACTCACCCACCCTCGAAGACACTCTCCACGCAGAACTTGACTTTGCCTTCAACCTCCCGCGACAAGTGTCAACAGGCCAAGAACTCGACTCCTTCTTCCACACAGCCAACTTCCTCGGCGGAGCGTCGCCGCAGCCGATAGTCTTTTCAGGGAACCCTTCAAGGCCATTCGAAGTGAATGGTGAAACCTTTGTGAGTTTTTTTTTTTTTTTTTTTTTTTTTTTTTTTTTTTTTTTTTTTTTTTTTTTTTTTTCTTTCTCTTCTCTGCCTGCTCCCTTGCTTCAAGGCCAGAATGCAGCCGAGCCTTTACCGTGCTACACTTTTACACTTGTATCGAGTACTGACGATGTACTATTTCAGCCTGACTTTGCAACAGCAGCCAGTCGCGTCTGCGACAACCAAAAGAATGCGTGCGCGGATACGGCGAATGATGAGAACAAGAAGACGAGTTTTGGGGTTAGTGATTGTGATAAACAACGAGGTGAGTGATTTGCTACTAGTGTGTTTTTTCTTTGAGGTTTGTTTTCCAAAGAGTGAAGAAGAGTAGAGTGGCTCCTTAGGATCAAAGTAGTCCCTGATGATGATTCCTTTGCGATGCCCGCTTGTTAACATGTGGCTCTTTTAGAACAATGCATGAACTCGATAGAGTCGGCGACGGAGACGAGCTTCGCGGTCAAGCCGGGACCGACGCTGGTGGTGTCGAATGCGACGCATGATATTTTCTGTGATGTGTAGAGCGTGTGGCCCCAAACATTGGGTCTTCTTCTGGATTGGTGATGACGACGGTGGGCGTGTGTTTGCGAGGACAGAGGTGTCGAAAGACATCAAGTTGACAACCAAGTCACAAGAACCTTAATAGGCAGTACCCATGGCGTCGCTGCGTCAGTGGACTGAATGGTGCAAGTGGTATCAGCGACCTGCAGCAAGCGGCGTGCCTTTTTTCCTTCTCGTCCGTTCCTTGCTGACGGCAACGAACGATCGATCGGGTTTCCCGCTCTGGAGATCCGGATGATGCCGAAGAGACAATGAGCTTTCTGTTCATCAAGTTCCATTCCACAGCCAATGACTGACTGACTTGGACAAGTTGGTAGATTTGAAACATCAACATTCCAACAAAGTGTTTTGCTTCACACGGCCAACCAGTTCCAGCACTCCACATGCGAACCAGATCTTGGGGACCCGTGTGTTCCAGCCTCCTTGGGTATCGCTGCATGGCTCTGCCAGTTGGTGGGCCCTTGGTGGTGCGGGAGGCCATTTGATCCGGGTTGATGCCAGCACGTGTGGTGTAGCCATGCAGTGGTGATGCAGCAGCCTCTTCTCTTACTCGTCGTCGTGGAGAAACCCGTCGTGCCCGTGGCTTGCCCCTTTTTCCCGCTGGACGTGTTCCTGAATGGACAAGGTGAGTTTCAGTTTGGACAGAGCCTCATCGTGGTGTTTTGCTGCTGCAGTGTAATCCGACAACGCAAAGGATTCATGCCCAAAAAAGCCAATGGGGAAATGGCATACTTGTAAAAACAACACGGGCAAGTGAAGAAGTACGGATGGCTACGGGAGTCGAAGCGAGAAGGATGGAACTGAACGGGAGGAGAAATGGAAATGTTCTATGCAAGCGCGGGTAGCACAGTCAACAGTTAAGAGGTACTTGGCGACCGCCTTGAGACAAGGGTTTTTTGGCCTATGCGGCTCAAGATTGTGAAGGGTTCGCTGTGTGGGCAGCTGGCCTTGGCAGCGTGGATACAGAACCCCGTTTCTCCCCGCTTTGTACTCGCCATCTGTCGAATCGCACGAGGGTGTTCGGCGGACAATGTGGGGCAGTCAGGGACCATTGACGGACTCGGCGAGGGTGATGCTGCGCAAAAAAGGACAAGACGGGACGGATGGTGATCACCCACCGAAGAGAACGACGGCTGGGAAAGGAAGAGAAGAAACAAATCCCACGGCACCGGGCGGTCAAGGGAAAAATAGGTAAGGAATTGTTAGGTACCTAGGTAGATTGGCGACAGAGGCACTCAGTCACCACTGCCGTGTAGTGTAGTCTAGTGTGTTAACAGCTGAGGTCCCAACCTCCAAGTCTCAACCTAACACGGCAGCTGCAGCATCAGGTGGGCGCAACAACCTCCATCGGCATCTGCAACGAACCACACCAACCTCAACTGTCAACCAAGCAACCTTTCTCTCTCCATCGATCCATCCCGCTCTCGGTCCTCGGTTCGCCCACTGTCCTCCTCCTACCACTCACCACTGCACACCCTGCGTCGGAAACGGAATCCTCAGAGTCCAGTCGTGGCAAACGCGTCGACAAACGCTCCATTCACAGCCGACTGACACTTTGCGCGTCTTTGAGTGTTTCAGAAAAGTCAACTACCTCTACCTCTACACCTCCCGCTCTACAACACTGCACTATAAAAAGTCAAGAGCCACCAGTTCGCAGCGGTGAAAGAACAAGGGAAAAAAACAGAGCAACAGAGCCCCCTCGATGCGTTGGGAACTCCCGTCCAGAACCGTTGTTGCCTTCACCCCTTCTTCTTCTTCTTCTTCTTCTCTTCGCTCATTTGTTGACTTTGGGACGACCCCGTAGTTAGTCCGTTACCGACTTTTTATTTTCCTTCTGTCCAGTCTTCTACCTCTAAACTTCCTAATTGCCCCTTTTGGCTCTTCTGGTACTCCATCTTTTTTTTCTCCTGGTCTCGCCATTTGTCGACAGCTCTACTTACATACAGACCGTTACCGCGTGGGACAGTGGTAACGAGGGGGAAAGGGGATATCAACATCACGACCCTGTGGTGTTGACGCAAACTAAAATACAACAAAAAATAAAATCGAGCATCGGTGGCAGACAGGCTCCGGCTTCGTCTGCACGCTGATCTCGTCCAGGTAAGCTTAAATCCATACATCCACTTTTTTTGTAGCTCTCGAGCCCGTCAACCCATCGTCCCCGTCTCCATAGTCCATGTGCATACATGCTCTGTCAGTTCTGAAATTCTGAAACCTCCCACTCCTGGCAACCTGACTAGGTAGTGATTCACATGCTACAACTCTCCCACCGCCTTTCGCATCCTGGTTGCTAACCTTGGACCTTTGCCTCCACCTTGTTCCAGGTATTCCAAAGACGTCTTCCCTAAAGTCGTCACCGCGAACCCCTCCTCCTGCTGCGGTCGCGCAGGACGGTATCAAGAACTACTTCCGACACCCATCTGGATCGCCGACCTCTCCTGCCCTGTCGAGCGCCTCCACCGCCCAAGGCGAAGCTTCCCCCGAGCTTCCGCCCTTGCCTGTCCCCAGACTTCCTCTCCGGGTTCAGGGTCTTCTGAGAACTCCGCCCACCATCTCCGTAAACGAAGACGGAGTCGACGGAAGCCGCTGGGGCTCCCCCTACCCCCCAAACCTGCGGATCGAGAATTCGAGCAGTGACGACGAGGAAGACGACGACGACTCCGAATCCGAGCGAGATCCCATCCATACCCTAGCGCTTCAAACCCGCTTTCTGCGACCCGCCCCGCCCACTCAACAAGACAATACCTCCGAGTCCCGGTCATCCTTCATCAGCGGAGCCGCAAGCGTCCTCGCTAATCGCGCAAGGCGCCTGGTACACGGAATCACAGAGGACTGGATTCGCCAGCATACAGCTCACGGTAGCGAGCGAGAGAAGTTACACTGGCTAAGCGACGGCACTGGTGATAGTGAGAACTCTTCACTGAGCGACTCATTTTCCGGTGACGAAGACACCGCTTGGCTAGGAGACCACATTCTTACTCCCAGGGCGGATCGTCGACGAAGCAGCAGGCGAAGCAGTAGACAGCGCCAGGAATCACAGGGTGCTCTCAAGAAGCAGTCGAGCACTGATACTCTAAGACAGTCCCGCCTGGTCAGCAGACAGGCAAGCAAATCCGACATGGCGTCCCCGAACGAAAGGGCATCGCCGCCCGATGTCACTACGGCGAGTGACCGTGCACCTTCAGTTTCTCCATTTCCCGAACGAACACCCTCCACAAGCCAGCCAGTTGGCGCAACAAAGCCCGAAGATGCTTCCAGCATGAACATCCCAAAAGGAGAGCCTGTAGCTCCTTCCACACCGTCGAAACCCGCACCCAAACGTACCTCTACGCTCGCCGTATCGCCTCGAATGAAGAAGAAGGTCCCATGGAAGGGTAAAAGCGTCATGATTCTGATTCCCAAGGACGACGAGCGTGGGCAACCAGGCAAGGCTCCAATTCCTCTCTCCGAATCCGAGGTTCAGGCAAGGATGAGAAGCTGGCAACAGCAGGGTCATGATATCAGTGGCTTTGATCTGGAGCCGCCAAAGACCGCGAATCAGGAGTCCACTTCGCAAAGTCGAGGATCCTGGCCCGATTTCGATGATTTGATACAGGAGCGACAGGAAAGAAGCTGGAAAGTGCTTCTTCCCGACTTGAATGGTAAGATTCCACCCTGCTGATTGTGACCTCTGAAGGTATGCCTAGTAACATTCGCCATCTAGCTTGGAAGAGATACGTGGACGAGTTGACCGAAGCAAAGCTCAGAGCTCTGGGAGTATCCCTTGGGGACGACGAGCCCCCACAGCCTTCGGTTTCTCCGGCCACATCCATGAGCCGACAGCCTTCGGTCGCCAACTACCCTCCACTCCCCTTCTCACCTCCGCTGCCGACTTCTTCGGCCGCAAGTGGAGGTGGTCTCCCGGGCTTTCCTTTCCATGGTCTTGGACCATCGCCTACCAGCCCAGGCCTCCCTGCCGGCATGTCGCCTGCCTCGTTTACATCCAAGTATAATCCTCGGGCTTCTATATCGATCCCTTCTCCACATGCCTGGTCTCAGCAGATGATGATGCAACAACATGGACACCGCATGGGTTCACCCTCGCTTGCTAACCTCAACGCGATGATGTCTCCCAGCTCACCATTTTCACCAGACGGTGGTCTCTTTAGTCCCATGGGCCATATGGGCCATATGAGCCATCACCGCCATCAGTCTTTGCAGTTACCCATGTTCCAGCATCCGCCTCAGCATCAGCTCCAGCATCAGTTTGCGCCGCCCCCACGAGCATCGCCGCGCTTGCAGGATCTTCACGAAATCGTGGAAGAAGAACCAGCTCAAGATTCCGTGCGCGCTCCCGAAGCCGGTCTTCCCCATCACAATCCAGGCGACGATTTGCAAAGGGAAATTGATGAAGCTGAATACCATTTGGAAGAACAGATGCGCTCGCAGCTCGAAAACGATCAAGATTACAGCCCGCACAGAGAGGAACATACCATTCCGCCGGTTAACCCCCATGCCAGAGACTCGTCAGTTAACTTCGCTCCCCAGCAACCTCAATTTGGTGCTAGTTCGGACGGCCTTGTCTTGCATCACCCGAGACCGCACAGTCGCGGACACTCGCTGTCGCAAAAATACTTTACCGAAGAGGACGTCTCTAATAGTGGAGGTGGTTTTAGGCCTAGTCTGCAGCCGATTGACGGACCGGCTGCTGAAGACGACGAGATCGAGACGAATCCGAGCAACCTAGGAACGCCCATCCAAGCGCTCGAATTCCAGAAGATGATGCATCAACATACCTTGTCTAATGCTAGTAGCTCCTGGAGCACCGGAAAGCCTGCGGTTGGCCCCGCCCCTAAGCATGCCAGCCATGGTAGCAAGTCTTCGTTGTCCAAATTGAACGTGGAAGCACCCGAATTCAAGTATAACCCCAACAGCACTTTCACGCCGCAGTTCACCCCCCAGGTCGCCACGTTCTCTGCTGCCACCAGTCACTTTGCCGCTTCAGCACCTACGACTGGCGCCATCAACCCTACTGCGTCCGTGTTCTCTCCTACTCAAAGCGAGTTTGGCCTCAAGTTTCGCCCGGATGCGCCTGCCTTCACTCCTAATTCGTTTGCAACGCCGACCGCAAACCCCGCGGTGGAAAGCGATGCTCAACCTGAGAGCTCGGCTGTTGACGCCGGTGACCAGGAGAAGGCCGAGATTGTCTCGTCTGCTAAGGAAAGCAAGGCTAT